TCGAGACAGACACCGGCGGCCACAGCAAAACACAGTAACGTGCACGTGCACTTGAAGGGAGGGCTCTGGGCGGGAGCCAGAACAGCTACAAGAGAGGAGGAGGGTCTCCGAGCTCCAACCGGCAGAGAACATTGTGTGAACACTGGCTATCTCTATCCTCGGAGCTTCCCCGACCCCCAGGGTACCTCTCCCAACACCCTACTCGTCTCAATGCTCTGGCCACTCACTCGATGATGCTTATTGGTCGCTCTGATCTCGCACGTTTTGCGCCACAGGCTTCGAGCCCCAGGCTGACCCTCGGGAACTCGAGACAGACATGGGCGGCCACAGCAAAACACAGCAACGTGCCACCACCATTATTGATATCTGGGTGGGCGGGCGGGTACTCCACTGTTCCACCCATTACCAGAGATGTTTGGACATACGCTGCGTGATTACATTACAATTTCGTCTATCTATGGCCCAGGCCCAACGACGGCATAACGGAGTAGGATAAGGCCTGGCAACTCGAGTCAGAAACTTTCGTTGTCCATTCTTCCCTTCCAGGGAGATACGGGCAAGGCCAGTGCGATCACATTTACCTTTACACGACGAGCAGTGCCGGCATACGGTATCCAGGGGAAGGTGCGCTGAAATATAATTGTCCGCTTCCTCCACTTGACTCCATCCATGCAGAAGTCAGTAAGTATACTGGCAGCACACACTACGGAAACGAACCATGCGGACATAGCCCGGAAGCACCCAAAGAATGGGAGAGTGAGGATTCTCAAGGGTAGCTGGAATACCGTGAAAACGGGCGAGATCAAAAACATGGAGAGAAAACTTGGCGAACATGTTTCATGTTTTCATATGTTCCAAGTCAGTTGTCTTTGTGGTAGATGCGAGCCCCCAGGGCTCGGATGGCGAACGCCAGGCGGGAGGTCCAGGCCCATGGCCACGAGCCCGAGAGAACGAGGTACACGGGGTGCCCAGATGGATGGCCCAAAAGATTCCAGACTGGATGGCCCATCGAATTAACTTCTGTAGTGGGCGGCTTAGCAGATCATGATCGGGTCCATGGCGCATGTCAATCTCTAAGACCACGTGCCCTTGAGCTCGCAAGGCCGACGACCATCGGCCCGAGCCTGCAAAGAGCTCCAGACCTATATTTGTAATATCTGTGACTCCTTGGCTCACGGCAAGTCTAAGGGCGCGCAGCGCCTCAAAAGGGCGTCGCCGATGGTCCGCCAGGAAGCCTCGCAGAACGTGCGAACGTCGGGCTGCAACCGGGCGAGCTGTTCGTTCACCCTGCTCTATTTGTTGGACCGTCTCACGCTTGAATATACCACCCATCTGCCGCGGGCCTTCACCTCGGCCAGCGCCCTCAACTTCTGGACGACGTCGAAAGACGGGCCGGCGTGTCGGAGCTGGCGCGGGACGGGCGCCGGGTCGAGCTTCAAGAACTCCGCGGCTTGCCTGAAGAGTACGTGGTAGCTGCCCTTGCCGATCACCTTCACAACCGGCTGGCCGAGCTCCCTCCGCAAGGTCACGTCGCGGTGGAAGAGCGCCATGACCCTGTTGAGGAACGCGAGGGGGCCCGTCGCGTCGATGGAGATGTTCTCGTCGAGCTCCCCCACCTTCGAGACCACCCCCTCCTCGTTGGGATGGAGCGCGAGGCGCCGCCCGGCCGCGCCGCCGAGGGCGACCCCGACCGGCTGAGACCAGTGTCTCCACCTCATCTGCTTGAGCCCCGTGGGCCCGAGGTAGAGGTGGAAGGCCAGGAGGGCCCCGAGCGACGCGAACGGCTCGCAGCGGCTCACCGCCACCATCGCGAGGCCTGCCACGACCACCGCGGGAATCGGGAGGCGGGAGCGCGGCGGGGGCATCTTGCCGAAGCCGCGCAGCGCCTGGGAGGCCAAAGGGAGCGGCTCGTCTCCGCAGCGCCCGAAAGTCGGGCAGCGCCACTTCGCCGCTGCCACCAGCAGCTGGCCCGCCGCCGCACTCTCGCCCTCGAAGTACAGGTAGTCCAGGTGCTTGGCCAAAGACTTGTCCAGCTCGCCCGTCTTCATGACAAGACGATCCAACTCCACGATCTGCTGCTGCTCCACCAGCCGCGCGACGGCCGCCTCGTAGGTCGTGGTGACCTTGGCGCGACACGATGCGCGTCCCCAAGAATAGCTTGCTCTGCTGGCGGAGCATGTCCCCCTCGTCGACGTACTGGGCCCAGCGGGCCTTCCTCCTCTCGGGCAGCGAGGGATGCGACATGGCCTTCTTCGCCTGCCTCGCCGGAGGTGCCGTCGCCACAGCCCTCCTGGTCCGGGGCGCCCTGCGCGTGCTCTTGCCTGGCCAAGGGTCTGCAGGCGTCGGCACGCGCGGCGAGCTCCCGGCGCTCATCTCGCCGGTCTCGTAGTCTGCACCACGCTTCCACGACTTTGCCTCTGGTGATCTCCCAAGCCTCGGGAGCTCCTCGGCCTCTGGAAGGCGGGTCGGCTGGGTTGAGCTCGGAAACGAGCCACCTGCTTGCCGTCTCAACATTGCGTCGAAGAGAAAGACTGCAGAACTGTCGCACGGCTCTGATAAGGCCAGGTGCTGAGGTACGACCTTTAGATAAAGCCAAAATGCTGACCATGCTGTCGGATAGTAGTATGTGCCTACGACCTCGACCAGATACGGGAGTGGTTCGATGCCTCAGACACCATATCAGGGTACGACTCTCCAAAGCCGTGGTATGCTCGGACCGGGGCCATCTTCTCGAATGCATAACCCCCCAGTCGACTCCGCACACTTTGCTTTCCCCAGCATCTTCCAAAAGCGGAACCTCAGGAAACGGCTTAGACAGCGGAGAACCCTCTGAGACCTCCAGGACCTCCCCACTGGGAAAGACCCCAGCGAGAGCGGCCTCTAGGGCCCCCAGACGGACACTGCCTTCGGGTTCTCGAAATCGCCACCTGTCAGAGAAAGAGCCCAACTCGGAGAGCATATGAGCGGGTAGACGAGCGCGCGCCACTCCCTTCCCCCACTCCGACGCGTCACAACACAATACTCGCGCAGAAGTAGGTAGAGAGACCTCAGCACACAGTAGCGGGATCTCAGACTGCATCCAACGTAATTCACGGGCAACTGACGGCCACAAGGCCGAGCACGTATCTGGGTACCTGGCAGTGCACACCGAGCTGAGCACTGAAAGACCCCCCCTTTTCAGCAGCCCCATCGAGACGTAGTGCCCCACCAGTCGCGACAGGTGTCTGCCCGAGAGACGTCCTCGAGCCAGCGCATGCTGCACGGCGAGCCCAAGGCGCCAGACTCGCACGCGCTTAGGAGTAATGTAATTGGCCTCATCGTGGATCTCCAACCCCAGACGGACGATAACATCTGGATCGCATTGTTGATCATGTACAATCAAACCCTTAGACACCATAGGCTGATCCACCCGACTGTGCATTGACTCTCCCACCTTCCTATCCGTAGAGAACGTGACAATATTATCCACATAGACCATCACCACCCCACGATCGCGTGGAGGAAGAGGAGCTTTGTCGCGCATGAACAAGTTGTCGGACCCAGGGTTTCTGATCTTGGTGATTTGTGTGACCACCTCCTGGCAAACAGTAACAGCATGACTCCAGCCCATAAGGATGGCCCGGAACCTGGGGCACACGAAATCGTCCGGGTCGACCGCCGCGCCGCTGATACGAGAAATCCCCACTCGCTTTGCCTGGATGGGTTCTAAGGCGAAATAACTCCCAAGGGGGCTGGGGAGTTCCATGGTGCAAAAAGCATCTTTCAAATCAGATGGAAAACTGTGCAACTGCTCCTCTTCCTCCACCCGAAGCCTTCCGAACGCCTCTGCCGATCCGGGGGGTCTGGTGGGGCGAAACGCGCATTCGAAATCCGCGCGTCGAGGATAAGCCTTAGCTCCACTCGGTCGGACTTCCAAACCGCAAAGATGCCCACGCGGACACCATCTTGAAAACTGCACTCAGTCAGGCCTGCACGCTGGAGACGAAGCAGCAGGCTAGCATAAACCTTCTTGCTTGGAAGCCGGGGGTCCCAGTGGGGCCTGGCCAAACCGAGCTCCTCCCGGGCGCGCTGTTGCTGCTCCTTCGGCAAAACGGTTTCACTGGACAACCTCGAAACGATATCGGCGCCCTTAGGACCTAACAGAGCGCCCAGATCCTGAGGGCAGAACCCCGGCTGCGGCGAACTGAGCAGGCTAACGTCTGGAGGCGCAAGAGCACACGGCACTCCTGCATGGTCATCAGCACCCTGGAGCTCTTCAAACGCTCCCCGAGCGCACATTCCCTCCGGCGGGGCGCCCAGCTGCGCCGCGCAACGGTGGGGAAACTTCAGCCCCTCGGCATCGGCGAGCTCGTCGAGCGACCCCGTGCGGAGGCCAGCCTCGGAGCCGAACTCTAGCTCCCACGGCGTCCGAGCGGCCGCCGCGACCTTCCCCTCACGGTGCAGCCTCCTGAGGTTGCGCCGCCTCACGGCCCTGGACAACGGCGAACGTGGAACCCAGGAACCTGCCGCTGCCTCCTCTGCGCCGGGCAGCGCGGCCACCGCCGACACCTCCCTGCTGTCTCCAGGCCTCGGTCGGGAGATCCCGAGGCCCGCCCCAGAGGCAGTCATTTCCTCCGCAAGGCGCGCTCCTCACGCGCCTTGCGGCTCTGCTTGTCGATGGCGCTCTGCCTCTCCAACTCCTTCGCCGTGAACGCGACGAGGTCGGGCGAGATCATCAAGTTGCCCTGGTTCTGGTGCGCCCCATGAACACCAGGTGCCCCTCGTTGTCGGGCCCCTTGACGTCTCCCGACTTCGACGTCATCTCCTGCCTCGTGCGCTCCCGGTGGTAGTACTCGACCAGCTGGGCCCGACGCATCGCGTACTCCATCGAAATCAAGTCCGGCACGTCCAGCTGGTCATGCTCCAGTGCGGCAGTGCGGCCTGGAAGGCCCTCATGGCGCTCTCGTGCCCTGCCACTCCGAAGTCGGACTCGCTAAGCTTGGAGACCGACTTCCACCACTCGTGGTGCGCCATGGGGCCCCCCCGTCGCTGCGAGAACTTGGCGCGCCAGAGCACCGTGCGCGGACCCGGGAGATGGACCCCCCCAGTCCTCGAAGGTGCCCTCGTCTAGCTTGTCGACCGCCTCGCCATAGTCCCTGTGGCGCAGCCTGCCCTCGAGAGTCACCGGCAGCACCCGCGCGTCCGTGTCGTCGACCTCCTCGTCGATCTTGAACTTCCTCTTGAAGTCTGGGACGTCACCAGGCGGCACCTGAGCGCACCGCACATGGTGCACCCCCCCCCCCCTCTGCGTCGGTGAAGACGTGGACGGCGCGGGGCCCGCTGATGACCGCCTGAGCCGAGAGTCGCACTTCATCTCCGCGCTCGACTCCCGGAGCCTTCTCGACCAACAGGCCCTTGTGGTCCTGCAACGTCTCCGCCCAGCCTCACCGCCTCCGACTCTGCGACCAGCTTGGCCTCCGCCTGCAGCCTGGCCAAGGCTGCACCCCCCGGAGGGGCGCGGAAGCGATAGGCCTCCGCGGGGTCGATCGAGCCGGGCAGGGCGCCTCCGGGACCCGACAGCCTGAACCCTGGGATGTCCTGGTTGTGATGACGGAAGTCCTCCAGGTACACATCATTGTCCGGCGTTCCAATTACCCACTGGGTCCCCGAGGCGCCCACCTTCGCCAACGAAAGTCTTTCGTGCCAGAGTGGATGTCCGTCGTCCGACCTCCACGACTGTGAACCTCAATGTCCACCAGCTGTTTCCTCTTGCCCTGGGCGGGCCCCCTAGACTGAGAAAACGATGAGCTCGTCTCCGCCTCAAACGGATCCTGGGATGACGCGGCCGGTGTCTGGTGCACCACCGAGAAGGTGGTGAACTGCCTGAAGCTGTAGAAGACGGTGCCCGACACCGTGGCGCAGTAGCACCCACTCACGAACCCGCTCACGAAACACAGGAAGACGAAGATCGCGGCCAGCGCAGCAGCAAGGAGACCCTCTGTTGTGACTCCTGAGGGCGAGAAACCCCCGCCCAGCCCACTCACGATGGCACCGCGATGCGGGGGTGACTGAAAGCCAGCTCAAACCCATACACATGGGAATGGGCACGTCAGCCAGAACAGCTACAAGAGAGGAGGAGGGTCTCCGAGCTCCAATCGGCAGAGAACATTGTGTGAACACTGGCTATAATGTATATATATATATATATATGATAACACTTGAATCATTAAAAGCATAAGCAACTATGCTTCTTCTGCGCCCCTGCATCGCTTGCTAAGGCCCGAGACCCGATGCGACGCCCACCTGCAACAGGTGGTACAGGTTCCCATGGACCCCGGTACTGAGGAAGAGGGAGGAGGAGGAGGAGGAGGAGAAAGAGGAGTAGACGTACCCTGAAGGCGGACTCCCGATGACCGCACTAGACGCGAAGCGCCAAACGCGCAGCACCAGTGATCCGCTCGGCTTCTGTATATGAGAGGTGCGCCTCCGGAGGCACAGAATCTTTGGCTTTGTGGTAAATGTGGAAGGCAAGGACGGTGGCCTCGACAGCCTGGAGGCGCGTTATCTCACAGTCTTCTGTGCCGTACTCGGTCGGGGCACCGAGGCCGAGCCAGAGGAGGGGGTCCGAAGGAAAGACGAGTCGCATCCAGCTTAAGGCGACATGGTGGCGCATCCGAGGGCACATGAAATAGTGAGCTATCGCATCAGGGCCTCCACATCCAAAGATGCAGTCACGGGTGTGCCGCGAAACATGCATGCGTGCACTTGTGGTCCAGCCTCCGCACACGCTCTTGGTGTACGCCCACCGCCACGCAGGCCTGACTTGCTCCAGACATTCACGCACAAGAGCCCATCTCGTATCAAGAGCTGGTGGACATGTAAACAGCCACTTAGTGAGCCTGCGAGCGATCGTGAGAAACAATCTATCAGGAAACACAGCGTGCATGAGCGCAGTGCCTACAACTCTCTGAAGCTTGGGGGGACGAACCTCCTGGAGAGCACTGCGAATCTCTCGGCGCCCCTCAGCCCGGGCATCGTCCCAAACACGAACCGAGAAGGGGAAGAGAGGGCGACACAAGCCGTTACGACGACGCTGGACGACACGAGGGGTGGAGGCGGTGAGCTCCTGGAAATACTGCACAATCGCTTGGCCATGCTTCCAGCGCGGGGCGCACCATTCCCCTAGAGCCCAGCGGGGGGCGGAGAGGGGGGGCGATCCACAAGCGGCATCGGCGGCCTGCTGCAACTTGTCGTAGGCAGCGTGCCAGTCGGGCACGGTGTGGGTCAATGCGCGCCACGCTGCCGAGACACCCAGGAGCATGAGCGATTTCGGCGTCGAGCCGATCCACTGCAACGACAACAAATCGGCGCGAGAAAACGCATTGGGGGGAAGACGGAGCAGCTTGTGAAGAGCGAGAGCCTCACGCGAGAGAGCAAGAGGGGACATGGGGAAGAATTGGGCGAGATAGCCGAGCGTGCTAACAGCATACGTGTTATACTGATACACCAGGAGCGGCGCGGCAGCACGAGACGAGGGGAGCTCGATCGCCCGGTGCCACCACTTTTGGGACGCGACGTGCCACTGGTCAAGAAGGCCTCCACCGGGGCCAAACTGGACACCGAGATACGCTGTAGCCGGCTGAACATCAAATGAACAGAACGTAGGGACCTCAGATTGGAGCCACAGCTTGATTCGCGACACAAGCTCGGACGTACATTCAGTCCAGAGCGGCACGATGCAACATTTGGCATGCTGTAGAGACAAGTGTGCATGGCGCTCGATGGCACTAAAATGCGGGGCTAATCGTGCGAGCGTGCGGAGCTGGGGCAGGAGGGTGCCAATGTCGTCGGCACAACCTCCTACTTCTCCTGGGATGTCTCCTGGCGGGGGTTGCTCAACAGCCTCAGACAACAACCTCACCACAGGGTCGAAAATGAGCGCCCAGACCGATCCCGAAAGGGGGCAGCCCTGGAGAACCCCGCTGCACAAATAAAACATAAAGTGGAGCTCTCCACCGAATCGTCCAAAGCCTCGGGGGCAAAAGTAGAGGGCACGAAGGAGGTTGAGGTAGCCTGGAGGAACGCCGTGCCGGCGAAGAACTTCGAAGAGCCACTGGTGGGCGACCGATGGGAATGCCGCAGCAATGTCAAATGAAACAAAACAGGGCATGTTGAGGTCACCGCCTGGAGCGATGCTAAGAGCACGTGCTGAGGCATCCATGTGCACAATGTTGCGGATGAAGTTTCTTCCGGTGACAAAGCCACGCTGATTGCCATGCACTCGCTTGGCAACAACCTGACGTAGCTGATGATTGGCAGCGCTGGCGACGATTTTGGTGTCAGTGTTGCGCAGCGAGAGAGGGCGGACTTTGCTCGGCTGACGCACGCAATCGAATACGTCTTCTGGATTGTTGCCTTTCGGCAAGAATGCAAAGACAGAGTCGTTCAAATCGAGGGGCACAGGGTCGCCACGATAAAGCTGCAAGGATAGATCATGCAGTATATCGAGTTGCTCAGGTATCGCGGCCCAGGCTTGGTAGGTGAACCCGTCAGGTCCAGGAGCTGAGTTACGGGCACGCCGCATGGCCACCTCGAGGCCCGCGCGCGTCGGGGTCGGAAGCGAAACGAAGCCGGAGCCATCCGCAAACACACCCGAGCCATCGAAAACACTGTCTAAATAACTGCGGAGCCTGTCGGGATCAACTCGCCGGGCTTTAAAGACCTCCCCCCAATGGTCCGACAAGGCACTGCGAATATCTGCGCTCGAGCGCACAACGCCGTTACGACACTCCCCCGCGGTCGACTCCGGTCGGACCCCTTGGAGGATGAGGGCGCTGCCACGGGGCCTCCAGAGCTTGGCACGTTTCTGGATGGCTCTCTGCTGCCGGCGTGCCTCTGCAGCAGTTTGGGCCTGTCCAGCCGCATTCGCACGGTGGGCCAGGGCGGCAGCTTGCGACCGTCGGCGCTCAAGTGCGGCAGCACTCATCTCACGGAAAAGATCTCGGAACGCATCGGGTTCGAGGAGAGAGAGCAAGGAGGAGGAGGAGAGGGCGAGAAATCGAGCACCAAACTCGGTGGTGGCCATCAGGGTGGCTCCTGTCCGAAGGTCTTGTCTCCAAACCGCGCGAGCAATTGCCCGCAGCGTGACAAGACGGGCCTCGCATGCGTTCGTATCATTTGACGTGAGCGGGAGGCGCTGGAGCTCATTACGGGTCTCCCGTGCAGCCTCCCACATATATTGCTTCATATACTGCCAGCGGAGGTCCGCTGGAAGGTGTGAGATATCGACAGCATGCAACAATGCGGACACTTTATCGCGATAGCGATAATCAGAAAAAAATGAAATCAGGAATCCGAAGCTCATTTGCTGACCCCGTGCCTCGCTTCTGGAACGAGAGCGAAACCACCGCGTGGTCGCTCAGACGGGCGTCCGAAAGCTGGCAAGGGTCAACATGAACTTCCATGATGGCATCAACCTCGAGCATGAATTCCGTGGGAGTCCCAAGGAAGACACGATCAAGAGCGACAGCTGTGAAATGTTGCCTGTCAAATCTCGTGGGCAACTCAGCGCTGATCTCAGTGGCAGCTAACATGAGCGGGCGCCAGAAGGCAGAAAGAGGGGACACGTGAGTGTCCACAGCAAGGCGCGCAGAGGCTGGCTCAGGATTGAGGTAGCTGACGGAGGCCGTGTCGGCGATGTTGAAATCCCCCAGGGCCACGAAGGTGTGCATCAACGGGTCCACGCGACACCAACGGAGGAGCTCATGCCATCGATCCCGTATCTTCGGAAGCGCCGCGGCTGGCAGCTCGTAGTTGTGAACGTTCATGATTGCCATGGAGCACTGCGTGAGCGGATGTGTGACTTGAAGGATCTGAACTCGTCCAGGGGCGAGAACTTCGTGAGACAGGAGAGGCCGTTCAGATGCAGGGCGTTGAAGTTCATGTGACGCCGACACCCAGGGGAGCAAGATGGCGATACCCCCAGCACCCGGACGATCCGTGCCAGAATGAAACAACTTGTAGTGGAATGGAGATGCTGCGACAAGTACTTGCAATTGTTCGGTTGTGCCGTGCGTTTCCTGCACCAGGATAACAGCACGATCTCGCATGAAGGGGAAGAGCTTGCTGAACTTCTCACGACGACGCCGAGGGTCTACGCACGCCAACCCACGAGCGTTCCAGGAAACAACTCTCGCAGGGCGAGCGCCGTTACGACAGTTGGCCTGCCACTCCCATGGCGTCCACCTGGCATTAAAGCCCCCACCCATCAGCCGAAGTATCCACTGTGTGAGAGAGACGAGCAAACGCCTCTGCAACGGGGCCCTTGTCGATCGTGCACTTGTCGACCGTGGGGCCGTGCCAGACAAATTGGGTGGGGTCGTCGACACCGTGGATCGTGAGCACCACCAGCGGAATGTTATCGACCAGGACCACACCTTTGCTTCGCTGGCATGTGAAGCGCAACTGTGGGTGCCGCTCCGAAAGCACACGCTCTGCCTTCTTCGTGTGGATCTCCAGCCTGACCGTCTTGGGGGCTTTGTCGGGGTTGATGTAGATCGGCGTCTGAGCGCCTTGTGTATTCTGTGCAACAAAGTTGCGCCATCCGTTACGTGTGCGGAGGCCTTGTGCCAGAGCCAACGCCAAGGGACGCGCCACCTCATCACCACCTGTTGTGCGTGTGAAGAACTTGCGAGACGGAACCTGCCCATCGAGCTCCACCTGGTCCATCGTGAGGCCCGACTCGGTGACCCAGGAGTGGATGGCGCGGCGGATCTCCTGCGGTGCGATCGCCGACGGGGCGCCGACCGTGAAGAGCGTGGGCTCCGCCTGCCTCTCCCAGTTGGCCAGCCGCGCCGTGTCAAAAGAGGAGGCGGTCGTTTCGGCCAGAGCGATTGTGCGCTCGAGCCTGGCAACCGTGTCGCGGATCCGATCCTGCTCTTTCTCTTGAGCAACCTGGCGTTTCTGAATATCTGCAACTGTGTGGCTCTGCTGGTCGATGCGCGTGTTGACCTGTCGCACCTGCTGGAAGCAGAGCCGCATGCTAGACTGGAAGTCGTCCTGGGCTTTCTTGAGAGTGGTCGTGCAGACCTCTTGGAAACGCGAAGTGGCCTCATCGAGCTGCTTATCGAACATTGACTGCATCTGCTTGTCGAAGTCCTCTTGGCTGGGGATCTGACCTCCCCATGGGTTTGTACCACCCGGGCGGGCAGGAAGACTGCCTGATGCCTGCCATGGGTCGGCTCGCTGGAGCACGTCTTCGCTGGGGGCAGCAGCAGCGGCGGCACCGGCACCGGCACCGGCTGCAGGCTGGCTGGCCTGGCAGGGGAACGTTGGTGCCGTGTCCAGCCTTGCCATGAGGTCCTGCTGTTCCATGGCGTCCATGGTGGCCGCGGCGGCGGCCGCGCGAGCGCCGGGCGCGCTGCCACGGGCTGTGCCCCGCGGGCGCTCCGAGCGGGCGATCTGGCCGCCGTCATCGCGATGGCCACGCTGTCGACGGCGGCGCCGTGGCGGCTGCGAGAGGCCACCGCTGCGACCGCTGCGGCTGTGATCAGCAGCCGCGTCATCTGAGCTCCGCGAGCTGCCCATAGACGACGGCATGGCATGCGCGCCCGAGACAGCTGGTGGAGCGATTATATGGAGCCTGCGGGGTTGAGCCGCAGGGATCGGTGGAAATTGCTGAAGAGCACGGGGGCTTTGAGCCCAAGCTGCGGGGCTCTCAGCCCCTTTAGAGCCCGATCGGGTTCTAAAAGAGCCTTGAGCCAAAATGGCTACGGAGGAGGAGAAAGAGGAGGAGGAGGAGGAGGATAATTCGACGAGGTCCAGCGGCCACCATGGATGCATTATGTCATGCCACTTGCCACCAAGAACATCCAGGAAACTGAGAGATGTGGCGGTCACGTTTAGTAGACGCTTGTTAAGCCGTCGGAACATTCATTTTGATGCATCACCCCTCCAAGCCTCTCGCCGAGTCAGCCCTTGCAGGTCTCTTGATGACGCCGCTTCGCGTTGCAATGGCCGCTAAACTCACCAGCCCTGGGCCTAGGTGGTTTTGCGGATCAGCTCTTCCGAAGCCTCGCTCCCCTTGGGGAGGACGTTTACCCCTCACCCATGGCGTCTGGACAGGAAGAGGAGTCGCGGAGTGCCATGGTGTTCAAGACCCCAAGCTGGCCTCAGACAGACCAAGATGGCCTCCAGCATCGCGCAAGAAGGCACAAGTTGGATCAAGATGACCTCTGGCATGGCCCGAAAGACAGCCCCAGGGACCATAACCATTGAGTAAACAAGTAGTTTTGAATGATGTTCGCCCCACAGCACTTTCGGTTATAATGGGCCTCCTAGGCCTCAAGATGGCTGCAGATAGTCACCGGGAGACTTCAAAAAACAACAAGATGGCACCGATGCCCCTCAAGAGCACTCATGGAGATCTCCAAGAGGGTTCCGGCCATTTTGCAGCTCCACTGTGGTGGAGGGAAAGTGGCAACTCGGGGACCCACTTTTGGAATTATGGCCTCGGGCAATGCTCCAAGAGGGCTGTAATTGCCCAATGAAGAGTGCTAAGAGAGCCCAAGGACGGCCTCAAGGGAACCCCAGTATTTCTCCAAGAGACCTCCTAGAAGCGCTCGGGCTGATCCCAAACTTCTGCTTGAAGGGTGCACCCACATTTTACTCCACTGTGTGGTCCTCCATTCCTCTGCTCAAGGCAATTCGCCTCAGCATCGGATTTGGATTGGCTGGTGTGGATACGCGCAGAGCCAAGAATAATCCTCCACTCCACCACACCCCTCCACCTCTCCCACCTCTGGCAACGTACATGTCCGACTGCACATGTGCTATTCTCCGCTGGCGCCCACCACCTTCTCCCCCCCCATCTTCCTCCTCCTCCTCCGTCTCCTCCTGCTCCTCCTCCTCCTCCTCGTCACCATCATAATCATCCTCACCACCACCATCATCATGATCATCACCACCATCACAGACACCGTCATCATCATCATCATCATCATCATCATCATCAGCAGCAGCAGCAGCAGCATCGTCGGCACCATCATCATCACAGTCATCATCATAATCATCATCATCATCAGCAGCAGCATCATCATCATCATCATCATCATCAGCATCATCATCATCATCATCATCATCATCATCATCATCATCATCATCAGCATTATCATCATCATCATCATCATCATCATCATCATCAGCATCATCATAAGCATCATCATCATCATCATCATCAGCATCATCATCATACTCATCATACTCATCATCATCAACAACATCATCATGACAGTCATCATCATCATCATCATCACCAGCATCCTCAACATCGTCATCATCAACAACATCATCAGCAGCATCAACATACTCATCCTCAAAACCACCAAAATCATCAACAACATCATCGTCATCAGCATCATCATCATCAGCAGCAGCCTCATCATCATCATCATCATGATCATTATCAGCATCAGCAGCATCATCATCAGCATCCTCATCATCATCATATGGGACCATCGTCCATTCATACATTCATCCATCCATCCACCCATCAATCCATCATAGCCCTCCCCTTCGTTCAAAGCAGCCCGTTGTCTCAAACGGGCTCCTTTGACTTCGCCCATCAACCGCTTCCTTCCTGTAGCTTCCCTCTGCAACACCAGCAACCTCCTTCTGAAGCGCAGCCACTGCGCCGTTGGTGTCGCGGATCGTCTGCTCGTAGGCCTTCTGCGCCTCGGTGGGGCAATATTTACTGCTGGTACACAGTTGCTCCTGGAAGACTGCACCTCCGGTCCTCAATGTCCCCTCCCATCCCCCGACCCTGATCCTCATCACCACCATGCTGTGTTTGGATTTAGCCACGGCTGCGCCAACAATCACGCACATCCAAATTGGCAACTAGAACAGCTGCAGCAACGGCATAAGATACTCAGGTAAAGGGACACGGACGAAGTGACCTTCAAATCGTACCCGCTGTACCTCCAGCTTTCTGAGGGCCTCGCCTATACGGCGACAGCTGCCTTGCAAGCAGCAGTCTGAACGTTGGCAACTCATGGAGGCCGGTGGGGGGGCGTCAAAACCGCTTCGGAACATGCAGCCTGGAGACAAAGACAACACGAATGCGAGAATGGCAACTTCTTTGGTTACAGCATGGTCGTGTCGTGATTTCTGACACAGCGTGGATCGTTCAACCTTGCAAGATCGGCGACCTGTCGTCCGCCAGATCATTCCATGTTGGCCGAGCCTGGGCCACCGGGGGTGTTCAACCTCGAACGCTCGCGGAGGGCTCCCTGCCGCGTCGACACGACCCGAACCTACAGCAGTTCCCTGGCTGATCATCCTCCTCGCCCTCTACCTCCTCGTGCTCATCATGCCGCACAGCGACGCGGCATCCACGAGGAGTGCACACCTCCTCTGGGAGAGGCACGTGCCTCCGCCCGCTCGGCTCGCTGGACCTCTGCCCCCCTCTGCTGGACTGGGCCGCACTGGACGAGGCTCTCCAGACCTGCCCGGCAGACCTGTCCCGACTTGATCGACGGGGGCTCGCCAGACCCGCCCCCGCTCGCCAGACCAGGCTCGTCAGCCGTGCTCCGCCGGGCCCGGCCCTCTGCCTGCCAGCCTTCGGGCACCTGGCACAGCCGAGGAGCGCACGAGGATCGGGCGCCGAGGCGTGGCCAGCCCCTGCGGAAGGCGAGCCAACACGAGGGGGGGCCCCCCCAGACGCCAGAGGGTTCCCTGAGCAGCAGGAGAGAACTCAACCACCTGATTTGAAAAAGCTCCACAGGTCAGCTTGACAAGCGCGGGGAACGACACAGGGCATGTTACGGCCTCGCTCACAGACACCAGGAGCACCTGGTTGGCCTGGGAACCTGCAGGTGGTGCAGGCACTGAGCCAGGAGGCGCTCGGCTGTAGCCAAAGCCTGGGCCGGCTGGCCTTCGGGTCCGTGCCCGAGGGGTGCACGCTCGCCCGGAGCATGGCCATCACAGCTGCGGCTTGCCAGCAGCTCAACCGACGATACCCTAATCAAGACGACCGTCCCCCCTCCGCCTCCACAAGCGCCATCTCCACCGCCTTCGCCAACCCCTCTCTCCCCTCCACCATCCATCCGTAGGAGGCCTCCTAGATTGGGTCGGAGTAGATGTGGTCGGAGGATCGCGCCGCACCGCCGACACATCGGTGATGCATCGGTGATGCATCGGTGATGCACCGGCGATGCTTCGTCGACGTCGGCGATGCATCGGCGACGTCGACGTGAAGCAAATCGAGCCCCACATCGAGCCGCATCGGCGATGCATCGGCGGTGCGGCGCGATCCTCCGACCCCATCTACTCAGACCCAATCTAAGAGGCCTAGAACCCTCCATCCTTTTTTCATCTCGGTTTCCATTCCCCAGACAATGCTTGCACTAAGGGCTTATTGCGTAGCTTTCTCAACATCTGACTGGGTCTGTCCGGCTTCACCCTGTCGCCGAGGTGAACCGAGCAAGGTCGCAATCGAGGTCGCAATCGCGTCGAAAGGAAGACGGCCTTAGAGGCCCCCAAGATCGCCCAAGGACGGTCCAGGAAACTCCTAAGAGGGCCCCCAAAAAGCACAAGAAAACCACCAAATGGCCCGAGAAGCCCCCAAGACGCCCCAAGAGTGCCCCGAGACGTCCCCAGGAGGGGCTCAAGAGGGGGAATCCGAATTGAAATTTCGAGCCCTCCGCCCCTAAAGGACCACCGAGACCGCCTGCAAGCACCCAAGAGGCCCTGAAGAGGCCCCAAGAGAGCCGCAAGAGGCTCAAAAGAGGCCCCAAGAGGCTTAAGCATTGCCTCCAAGAGGCCCTCGCAAGGCCTCCCAGGAGACCCTGATATGCAACCAAGAAGCCTCTGACCCACAGCCCAGCCACATTTGCGAACTGGGCCCAGGGCCACTAGATTCATACACTTTGGGACCGAGAGCACGCCCCCGGAGACCTCACGAGACTTAAAACATACTTCTGAAAGACCCCCGAGAGGCCTCCCAAGAGACCCCAACAAGCCTCCAGGGATCCGCGGCCTTACTGGGGACTGGCGGCGCGCACAAGGGGGTGGAGGGAGGGGGGAGGGCTTCTCAGAAGGAGGCTGCTTCTTAGAAGGCGCCGGCCTTACATGTATAGGTGAGGCCCGCGCATTCTAAGAAGCAAGGGTGCTTCTAAGAAGCCCTCCCCCATCCCCTCACCCCCCTCTGCGCGTGGCTGACTCCCTCCTGATTCCCCGTGTCAGGGTCGGCGTAACCGGCCGTAAGGCCTCTCCAATCCGTTTCTCGCCTCGGCAATAATCTACGAGACAGTACTTGCACCAACGGATCATTGCTGACGGCCGGGGACTTTCGGATAGCGTGACGCCACGGCGGCCCAGACCCCCTGCGAGAGGATAGCATGTCGCTCCGCGGGGGGCCCGAGACATTGACGCCTCGGGCCCGCGCAGAGGCCAGCGTGTCGCTTCGAAGAGCGGCGGGCGAGCACCAGCGGAGCGACATGCCTTCCAAGCGCTCCCGACCGAAAAGCCTCCGGCCGGGTCTGCCGGGCCTCCTGCCGGTCGCCGCCCGCGGGCGCCTCTCTAGGGCGCTTCGTGCGCTCGCCGGATCTGCCGGGCTTCCCGCCGGCCACCGCCCATGAGGCGCCTCTCTTGGGCGCTTCGTGCGTTCGCTGGGTCTGCAGGGTTTCCTCCAGGTCAGCGCTCGTGGCCGCCTCGCGGGCTGGCTGGTTCTTCCAGGTGTGTGGCTAGAGGCCGCCCGTGGGAGCCTCGTGGGCGCCGCGTGCGGTGGCGGGTGCTCCCACACAGTGCGCCCCGCAGATGTCTTCTCCTTGAAGAGTTTGTGTCGCCACGGCGGCCCTGGCGACACGCTATACCCTGCGAGCGGATAGCGTGTCGCTCCGCTTCGCGGGGTGGGAGGCTCGGACAGGCTCGGGGACGTTGACGCCCAGGGGCCAGGAAGTGGATAGCGTGTAGCACCGCAGCGTGGTGGACCATAACCGGCGGAGCGACATGCTATCCGAAAAAAACGACCGTACCCCCTCCCCCCACAGAGGCCAGGGCTATCCGTACACATGGTGGTTTTGCTCGACATGCCTGTTCTGCGCGATCGCTTAACTTGACTGACAATTAAGACAATCACGGCCAGACGGGCATGTACACCTCCACCGCGCGATCTCCTACAAAAAACGTTCGGTGCACACGCGTTGATATATACACAGTGCTTGTTGCTGAGAACCTCTCCAATAAATATGCAGGGCGCATGCGCGCGCCGCCGCGCGCACATTTCAAAATCACTGTTTGCTTAAGAAGTCCAAGCCATAGCTATCAAGACAATAAGACGCCGTAGGCCCTCAATGAGAAAGATGACAGAATTTGTGTGCGCGCAGCAGCAGGAGATTGCCATCCAACTTGTCCAATGAGACCATGCGGGCCGCACGCGCGCGCATGACCACAACGTTCAACAACCATCGCGAGCCCTCCAACTCTGTGAAATAAAACCATGCGGATCATACGGGATCGTCTCCGCGCGCGCGCGTCGAAATCCCTCCCAAGCCATTGTTTCTGTAATTGTTCTACACACAAGTGATCAGTCACAAACGAAACTCCAAAGGATGACGAATACGTATAAGCCAGGAATTCTGCATTGCTGTGGACGCGCACTTCCTCATCATCCTCATCAGTTCCGACGTTATCATTGCCACCAGCGTCATCAATGCAATCCCCATCGTCATCGTCATCGTCAACACCACCGCTGATCATCACCATCGTAACCATTGCCATCATGCATGCTACCGCCATCATCGTCGATGCTGTCGCCTGCGTCAAATATCTGCGCATTCGCAAGTCACCATCATCACAACACCATCGCCATCATCATCGCCAGCGTGACCGTTGCCACCGTCATTATCACCATCGTTTTCATCACCATCACCATCGACGCTGTCGATATCGCCGTTGCCATCGCCCCCCTCGCCAGCGTCATGTCTCGCCCTGCAGGGCGAACTTGTCTGCGCGGTTAAACTCCAAACGCCCGTGCGATCCGCGTCGTCATCGTCATCATCACCATCCTCATCATCACCATCGTTGTCATCCTCATCGCCGCCGTCTGGCGTCGCCCTGGATAGGTTTGTGCGCGCGGGCACGTCCTAATCAATACCGACGCCATCGATATCATCATCGCCAGCGGAATCGTTGCCACCGTCATTATCATCACCGTACCCTTCATCTCAATCACCTTCGTCGTCATCGACATCGTACTGCCCACATCACCACTGTCTTCACCATCGGCATCAGCGTCATCACAACCATCATCGCCATCGTCGCTAGATCCGCGGTCGTCACCATCGACGCCACCAGTTCGCGAAATGCAGGACAGACTATGTCTGCGCGGCTGAGATCCACGAACCCTTGCACGAGGTCATGGCCAGATGAGCTTTGTCAGCATGTTGCGAATGGGAGGAGGGTATGTTTGCACGAGCATAGGAGGCGGTCACGCACGCCTGTTGCGCGGGTGGAAAAGTGCACCCCTTGAAACAAAAAACGTTTCGAAAGGATCTACTCTATCAGCCTCTCCCCCCAGCCATATGGATACCCCGTGGGTCAATGCAAGTCACAAACGGTTATGCCCCATCGTTCGCTTTCCACATGCAACCAAACTATCCCAGCCAAGCCAGTACTGACCACCCCCCTCATCCTTGTCAAAGAAGACCATGTGCGCAAACCCTCTCATCTCAACATCGCATTTGACACTACGACTTGGCCAATACTACGACGAGTTCCACACGCACGCGCACACATGTCGGAATCGCACAAGCACATTGAGTACGCAATCATTTCGACCAAAAAAACATCGCAAAGAAATCCGGTTGATCTTTCCATAGGAATGATACAGCAAGTGTTTGGGTTCAATAATCTCGTCCAGATACCGCATTCTGATCTCACCACGCAGTCCACCCGCGATGACCTAGCACACGCCCAACGCATGAACCCGTATCACACAGTATCATGAGGGCCACATGCGCGACCCACCACGCGCGCGAGTGTCCAAACCCTTCCAAAAACCAACTGGATTCAGAAGCATTTCAAGATAGCGCTCTTCAATCACATATGCAAAAAAACAGCTTTGCTCACAAAGAAATCATATATGTTGAAATTCTGCGCGCGCACTTTCTCATCACCCCCATCGGCGCCATCGCATCATCGCCGTCATCGCCATCGTCAATCATCGACATTGCCGCCATTATCGTCACAACCACCTTCACCACCTACATATGGACATCAATATTATCACAATTCATTGTCACCGTCGTCACCAGCATCGGTGCAGTCATTGACCTTGCAGTCGTTCTCGTCAACATCGCCTGCATCATCGCTGATGTAATCATGGTTGCCGCCGCTGCCGGCGTCATCATGACATCGCGCCCGCCCGGGCCGCCGACACGCAGTGGAGTGCCAGCGAGGCCATTGAAACGCGCGGGGAAGTTCCCATTCGTACGTAAGCGTCATCGTGATCGTATTAGGTGTGCCAAACCAGCTGGTCGCTCTACGCGCGGGCTTGCCCGTAATCATGGCCGCATTGGTTTTGTCAAACACCTTGCGGGTCAGAGGGTGGGATTGTTACACGAGCACTGAGGTAGAGACTTCACTTTTTACAAGGCGGATTTCAAATTCATAGACCACCCTACATTGCATCACATACCTTGAAAATATAGTTGGTATCAGATAAGCCGCACACAATACGCTTGCACTCGAATGCATGTATGTGTATATATATACATATATATATATATATATGCATACGCATATATGTGCGCGCGTGTGTACGTGTGCGCGCATGTATGTCGCACAGGTGGTAACAGATGGATGAGAGTGCCCACGTCGACACGGATGTGCCGTGCACGTGTTCGTGCACGCGTGCATCTAACCCGGTATGGTTTGTATACAACACGGCATGCATTGCATCGCGTACCATAATCATACCTTGAAGCCACATGAGCCCCCAAATCCGAGAGGACGCCAGGGTACCCTAGACAGGGGCCGCGACCTCCCGCCGGCGCGACGCGCTCAGACCGCCGCGGGCCAAGCCAAGGACACCCGCGGAAACCACAGGACGCAAGGGTAATTACCCTGCCCTTCGGCCGCAGAGGACACGACGCGCGATGCACAGGACACAAGACACCCTCGATTTCGCAGGGCCGACCTACTACTGGAACCCGACTGTAGAGCGCACTACCGTGCATTGCATCATTTCCGTCGCCCCCCCTGCCCCTCCGCCCGCTCCACCGGCGCCTCGCTCTCAGACCTCTTCGACTCGGCCATCAGCTCCTTCGCCTGGATGGCGCCCGCGCGGCGCGGACACGCCACGGCGGGGGAGGGAAAAGCGCCGCGAGAGGCCCGGAGCCTCCGCAGAGCCATCCCGGATGGTGCCCGAGCAGAGGGGGCCAGAGGACCGAGCCGCATCGCCGATGCAACACCGATGCCTCGGTGTTGCGTCCGCGACTGCGGTGCGATCCTCCGACGTCATCCGCTCCGCCCCCGTCTGGGGGGCCTAGAACAGGGGAGGGGGCGGGCGGGAGAACGGAAGGACGTTCGGGCGCTGCTGTGAGGAGCCTCGGCCAAAAATCAACCGACCCATCAGGGCCTCCTTTTGAACACGGGGCTGGAGGGCAACAGGCCCAGCCCGAGGCCCGCGAAATAATGGAAGGGGAGGATGGGGGGGAATGAGAGGGCGAGGATGAGGGGAGGAGGGGGAGGGGAGGAAAGAGATGCGAGGAGGGAAAGGCTGAGGTGAGAGAAGGAGAGGAGTGGAGAGGGGGGAGGAGTGGAGAGGAGTAAACGAAAGCAGGGATGAAGGGATGGGAGGGGGCTGAACAGGGAAGCTGGGCCAACGCCAAAAGGGCCAGGGTCAGACGCTGGAGATCCTGGAGGACGAAACGCAGCTCGAATTCCGACTCCTCCTCCTCCCACTCCTCCTGCCTCTCCTCCTCCTCCTCCTCCTCCTCTTCTTCTTTACGTTAGACAAATTTAAGCCTCTAGGCTGGAGAGTCCTCCTCCTCTTCCTACCCCTCCTTCTCCTCCTCCTCCTTCTCCTCCTCCTCCTTCTCCTCCTCCTCCTTCTCCTCCTCCTCCCTCTTCACTCCCACTCATCCTTCCTCCGCATCCTCCTCCCTCCTGACCCTCCTCCACCCCCCCCTCTCTTCGGCTCCCCCTCCTCCCCCCGCTCCTCCTCTTTCCTCGTGGGCGACCCAGCCTACCCTTCGAGCGGGGAAAAGGACAAGCCCGCCCTCCGAACAGACATTATGCTCGATGTCGGAGGCCCACGCAGGGGCCCTCCCGAGCCTGTGAATTCTGTGGACGGCTGCCCAGTCCTCCCTCTGACGAGCAGCAGGGCCCCTCCGACGAGGGCTGTGGGTGCAGGCGGCGCGCGCGTCGATACAGGGTGTACAGTCGGGGCGTTGACCTAAGGAACCCTAAATAAGGAACGAGGCCCCATGTTTCCACAAGTTAAACTCCGATTCCCCATCGAGAACACAAGGAACACCTGAGGCAAGCTGTGAAACAATCGAGGACCACCGAGCCCCTCCCCACCGAAAAGGGCTCCTTCTTCAGCGCCCCCGAGGTGTATCGTGCGAGGGAGCGGTACCTCTCGGGGCCGAAGCAGAGGCACCTGCATGGCACTGCGCCCTCCACCACTCCGCCGCCATGAAAGTGAGCCCTGGCTTGCGAGCAGCAGGGCCCCTCCGACGAGTGCTGTGGGTGTAGGCGGCGGGCGCGTCGTTACGAGGTGTATCGTGCGAGGGAGCGGTACCTCCTGGGCCGAAGCAGAGGCACCTGCGCATGGCACGGCGCCCATCCACCGCTCCGCCGCCGTGAACGTGAGTGAGCCCCGGCTCGCGCGAGAAGTGCGGGTTCCCTTTCGAGCCTCGCCCCCCCCCCCCCCCTCCTCCCTCCTCCCTCCTCCCTCCTCCCTCCTCCCTCCTCACTGCCTGCGTGCAAAATGTTGCCCTCGACCCTCGAGTGTCGAGGGGCGGGGCTTCGTTCGTGTTCGGCCATCGTCGGACATCCAGAAGCCTCCAGAGACTTCTTGGAACTCCCCGGGGTGGGATCCGGGGCGGCAGCAGTAAACACACCACTAACCCCTGGTGAAGGATGAGGGCGGGTACAGCGTGGAGGAGGCACTGCAACGGCAGGACAATGAGGGCAGGCTAGGATTGATGGAGGCGCCGCGGGGAGCAGATCTCCTGCTCCTCCTCCTCCTCCTCCTCCTCCTCCTCCTCAGATTACCTGTCCTCTTCCTACTCCTCATCGTCCTCCTCTGCCAACTCCCGATCTCCTCTTCCTAATCACCCCGCCTGGATCCACTACTCCCCTCGTGTCCACCCCCCTCCTCCTCTCGTTTCCCTCCTGTCCTTCTCCTCCTACTCCTCGCTCTCCTCTGGGTCATGCTGGTCCTGATCAAAACACACAGATGTGTACGCTACCTGCACTGACGTCAGAAAGTGCCATCCCACCGGCCTTTTAGGGCGTGAGTGGTTTAGAGCGTGTCCCCGTCCCCCCTCCATCTTCCCGTTCGGGGAGGGGTTTTCCACTCCCCCTCCCCCCTCCCCCTAGGTCTGGATGGGGCATTTCGCGAGCTGTCAGAGAATTCGGGGGGGCCTCGGCGAGAAGGCAAACATTATTTAGTGTACTAAGGTGTTGGCCACATGTTGGCCTCCTGAGGGGGGGGGGGGACGCTAATCAAGGAGCACCCCTCCTTTGATCGATCTCGTCCAAGATGACCCCGAAACTTCCCCCGAGCCTCCAAAGGGTGCCCGAAGACGGCCCCGAGAGCTGCCCAGCATGCCCCAGGAGGCCCCCAAGAGGTCCCCAAGATGCTCCCAAGAGGCTCCCAAGAGACCCCCACGAGGTCCCAAGAGGCTCCCCATCGGCACCCAAGACGCCCTAAGAGGCCCCCGGGATTGCCAAGAGACCGCCAAAACATGCCCAAAGGACACCAAGACGCTCTCGGAAGAAATCCGAAGAGACTCCGAAAGGCATCTGAAAAGGCTTCTGGCCTTTCTGCTCGCCCTCCTCCTCCTCCTCCTCCTCCTCCTCTTCCTCCTCCTCTTCCTCCTCCTCCTCCTCCCCCTCCTCTTCTCTCCTCCTCCCGCCCTCCCCCTCCCTCCCTCCCTCCCTCCCTCCCTCCCTCCCTCCTCCCTCCCTCCCCCTCCCCCCTCCTCCTCCTCCTCCTCCTCCTCCTCCTCCTCCTCCTCCTCCTCCCTCCTCCTCCTCCTGCTCCTCCGCCTCCTCCTCCCCCTCCTCCTGCTCCTCCGCCTCCTCCTCCTCCTCCTCCACCTCCTCATCCTCCTCCTCGTCCTCCTCTCCCAAATCCGCCTATCCCTCCTTCTTCCTCCTCCCTACGCCCTCTCCCCCTCTCCCTTCTCCATCCCTTTTCCGTGTGAATCCGCCGACCCTTGGGGTCACGGCGTGTGAAATGCTTTCCCCTCCCCAAACCCCTCCCCCGGGAGCCTGGTCCGGCCAGTTTGGAGGGGGGTGGGGGGTGGGGAGCAAATCCGTCATCCGCACACTTGGAGCCCCAGGAGGCCCCAAAACGGGCTTAAAGGTTCCAAAGGTTCCCGGAACGGTCCAAGAGAGCTACGAATCGACGAGAGAGCGCCCCAAAACGCCGAAGGTTGCCTCCACGCGGCTCCGTAAGTCCCCAAGACGCTTGATACAATATTACGAGGCGCCCCAAAGGGGCCCTCCAGAAGCAAACATTGTCGCATTCCCAATGGAAAACGCACATTTTCACTACAATCGCACGTTCGGCTTCCACGCGGCGCAAAACGGCCCAAGAAACCTCCAAGATCGACCCTCGCCAGCCCAAAAGGCCCCCAACAAGGCTCCAAGACGGCGTCCAGGCGATCCACGAAGGCCCCAGAAACCATAACAACGGCTTAGGAAAGCTGCAGGACGGTCCCAAGAGGGCCCCAAAACGAAACAACAGGGCCCCTAAAGGCTGTCCGGACGGTCCACGCGGGGGACGATTCAGTACAAACCGCCCAAGATTGCCGCCAGACGGCCCCATGGGTGTCCAAGACGCTTGCGTACGCGACCACGATGCGCCCCAAGCAGGCCTCCAGAAGCAAAAACCTTCCCACTCCCTGGGTAAAACGTAGCACATTCGCTTCTTGGGCGTTCACGAGGCCCACAACGGCCCAATACACATCCAAAATCGACCCCTGTCACCCGAAGAGGCCCCCAAGAAAAATCCATGACGGCTTCTGGGCGATCCACGAATGCCCCTGAAACCATGACAACGGCCCATGAAAGCCGCAGGACGGTCCCAAGAGGGCTCCTAAACGAGGCAAGAGGGCCCCTAAAGGCTGTCCGGACGGCTCACGCGGGGGACGATTCGGTCCAAACCGCCCAAGATCGCCGCCCGACGGCCCCATGGGTGTCCAAGACGCTTGCATACGCGACCACGAGGAGCTCCAAGCAGGCCTCCAGAAGCAAAAACCTTCCCACTCCCGGGGTAAAACGTACATTTTCAGCACATTCGCTTCTTGGGCGTTCACGAGGCCCACAATGGCCCAACAAAACCTCCAAGATCGACCCCTGTCACCCGAAGAGGCCCAAAAGAAAGCTCCATGACGACGAAAGCCCCAGAAACCATAGCAACGGCCCAGGAAAGCCGCAGGACGGTCCCAAGAGGGCTCCAAAACGGAACAAGAGGGCTCCCAAAGGCTGTCCAAACGGCCCACGCGGGGGACGATTCTGTCCAAACCGCCCAAAATCGCCGCCCGACGGCCCCATGGGTGTCCAAGACGCTTGCATACGCACGCGACCACGAGGCCCTCCGAGCAGGCCTCCAGAAGCAAAAACCGTTCCATTCCCCGGGGAAAACGTACTTTTTCAGCATAGTTGCTTCTTGGGCTTCCAAGAGGCTCACAACGGCCCAGTAAACCTCAAATATCGACCTCTGGCACTCCAAAAAACTTTCAAAAAAACAGAAATCTACGAAAGTTTCACAGCCTCCGGGCGCCCCACGAAGGCCCCAGAAACCATAGCAACGGCCCGGGGGAACGGGAGGACGGTCATAAGAGGGCTCCGAAACGTGTCTAGAGGGGCCCCACAGGCTGTCTGGACAGGCCACGCGGGGGACGACTGCTTCGCCCCAAGGGGTCGGCGGCGTGGCGTAAGCCAATGAATCCACGTCCGGAGGTGACGTGCTGAGCGGCAGCGTTTTCCGCGGATGCTGTAATACAGTGGATCCAATGTGTCCAATGTTTGCATAATTCCCACATGCTGTATGGTGTTACATTATTATGTATCCCCCCCTAACCTCCCCT